TGTGGAAGCATGAGGATCTCCAGCCAGATGACTAGCACACGTGTGAAAAGTCAGGGACGATGCATGTGCCTGTAATCTCAGCCACAGGAGGTTGGCAAAGATGGGTGGATCCCTGGGGCTTTATTGCCACCCAGAGTAGCATAACTGATGAACCCTGGATCCCAGTGAGAGACTCTGCCTCAAAAATTTGAAATTACTTCTAATGTGTCTTTGGTTACTCTTTTTATTTGTCTATATTACCGTAAAGGTTGATAATGAACACAGAGATGTTTAAGTCTTGGTGTGGCTATGTGAGTAAAATGTACAAAACACATTTAAAAAACAAAAAGCATAGGCGTCGCTGGCCCACGCCTTTAATCCCAGCACTTGGGAGGCAGAGGCAGTCAGATCTCTGAGTTTGAGGCCAGCCTGGTCTACAAGAGCTAGTTCCAGGACAGCCTCCAAAGCAATACAGAGAAACCCTGTCTTGGGGAAAAATAAATAAATAAATAAGTTAGGCTGAGCTACACAGACAGACTGCAGAAAACAAACAAACACACACACACAAAAAAAAAAACCATGAGCCAGGAGTGGTGGCACACACCGTTATTCCAGCACTCAGGAGGCAGAGGCAGGTGCATCTCTGTGAGTCTGAGGCCAGCCTAATCTGCAAAGTAACTTCCAGGAGAGCCAGGACTGTTACACAGAGAAACCCTGTCTCCAGAAAAAACAAAAATAAATAAAATAAAAATCATTACATATTATGTTTTCGTTGCTGCTGGTTTTTGCTTTGGGTTCTTTCTTTTCTTTTTGAGACAGAATCTCCTATATCCCAGGCTGGCTTTGAAGTCCTGAGTCTTGTGTCACCATGACCCTGCTTAACTGTTTGGTTTTGTTGTGCGCATTGGTGGTCTCACTTCATGAATATCTGGGAACTGGAGGTACTGAAAGTTGTGAGCTGCCATGTGGGTACTGGGAATTGACCCTGGGCCCCTGGAAGAGCAGTCAGAACTCTTAAACACTTGCTGAGCCATCTCTCCATCCCCCAAGTTTAACAGTATTTTTAAAGTTAACATGAAGGACTCTGGGCTGAATCCTAACCAACAATACAGACAAATGGAGCTCATCCTCCCAGTGAACCCTCTCAAGGGCTTTCTCACACAAATAAGCCAATGTTGCATTCCTTGCTTTGCAATGGGTATGCATGCCAGGTGGCTATCTGGTTATGTAGCATCTGTTTGTGCTATAGCTAACACATGACGGCCAACCACCACTTCCCCAACCTGGCTGTGACTACTTGCTGCCCAAATTATGATCCTTTAGTGGAAGGACACTTGTCAGATCCAAGCAGGTCAAAATTTAAACATTTTCCTCCTCTAGAGGAATGACCAATGGCTCCAAATGGGAACACCCCACACCTAAGGCCTCAGACTTAAAACATTAGAACATGGAGCCAAGTTGGAGTTTTAGTTACATAAAACAAGGAATCTTTCCCTTCTCTCTCACTACTGTGACCCAGCATCTTGTCCTATAGATGGAGAGAGATAGATCTCAAGCAACCAATCCCCCCTGGTAAAATCGGTGTTATACACAGCAAGCATAAAACATGCTTATCTTTTCAAGAATGAAATCCTTTTGTCTGCTTTACGTTCTGCTTGGCGTCTTTGTCTGAGGGTCAACTGTGGAATGACAGAGTAAGACTACAACACACCCATTCTGCATATTATTTTTCTCCCTTGGCAACGTCAGGCCAGGAACAGTAGGTTGCCTTTGCAGAATGTCTGCCGTGTCTAGAAATAACAGAGAAGAAGCAAACACACGCAGGGAGGACAAAACTACAGCATTTAAAACGCGTAACTTCAGGTCTGACTGAAGTGGCCCTCACAGTCCATATTCTTCCTTTTAAAACGCTCACCCCAAGTTAAGGGAGCCTGCCCTGAGTGTGGTCGCACTACATCGTACCTGTCTCAATGCTTTTTCCCTTTGTTGCCTCATCCTGCCATTACCTGTTATCTAGTGGGTTTGGCTAATCTGAAATGTATGTCCTCAATACTTGGGAATACCAACAACTACACAGTAAGGAATTAGGAAACTATGGTGGTTTAGTACATCATATCTGAATATAATCTTCAGTGTATTCCTAATATTGAAAAATCAAAGTTCATTTTTCTGAGCTCTATTGTCTAAGATCCAACTTAAAGATTGTCTCTGTCTTCTATATCCTTCCTTCTGCAACCTGTTTCCTGACCATTTCACTATTCATTAATCTCTCCCTCCACAAGAGGGATGGGCAGCGCGCACACACACACACACACACAGAGAGAGAAAGAGAGATATTTTAATAGAATCAATTTTGTTATTACTGTCTGATAAACCTATATGCAAAAAGTGTCAATGTGACTGAAATGACATAGAATTCTGAAAAAAATAATTTTTGATTGTCCATGATCTAGCAATTACTTCCATGAAAAACTGAATTAGTTCTCTATATCTTAAATTTTATAGAGGTTTATTTAAATGATCAAGAGAAAAATTTGTATTATAATTCTAAGAATAATCACACCAAATCCATGAACTAAATGTCTATAAGATGCTATCAACTAAAAAGAATTCCCAAAGAATCAAGAGCTAAAATGAAGCACCAGGTACATTTTAAAATGGAGAATATAAAATAGGTAATTATTTTCGCCTTATAGTTTTAAACCTCTTTACATACACAATGATGGAAAGGTCACGTATAGAAGAGTATATGTGACAGAAATGTCTATGAGTATTTTCAAAAGTAACCACTGAACTCTAATCTAACCACTGAACTTCATAATCAATGATGTAATAGTCAGGAGGAGAACAAAGAGGATTGCACAGCTATGGATGGACTTCCCAGTTCAATTTGCTCTTAAAAGAGGTGACATTAGACAAATACTGTTAGTTTCAGAAACTGAACAAAATGAAAAATTACTGCATTATGGAGAATATTTTATCAATAATTGTGCCATAAGGTATATTTTATTCAGCTGATCAACTTCACAGAACTAAAGCCTCAGAACTACCAGGTGAGATAATACATATATACCTGCAATATCCCATTCCATAAATAATCTATACTATCAGAAGCCACGCTGCATTCAGACTCTACAAAGAGAGAAATGAAAGTGTTCTAGTGGCTTCCGAGCATGCCATAAACAAAATACAGGCATTGGGTATGATTATTGTGAAGTTCAAGGAAAGAGATAAACAGATTCTAGGAAATACTATTTCTACTATTTCACACATTCTTTTACTCCACACTGCTAAAGGCTTAGTGAAAAGGTCATTTATGTATCTCAAAGTAAATAAAGACACTTAGCAACTCCTGACATTGTCACTCTCTCAAGACACAACCTATTAATCACATAGTCCAGATGCTGTGTCAGTTGTTTTATTTCATATGGCAAATAATATGTTTCAAGGTATAATTACTGATTCCTCCCACTTTCTTTCTGAACTGAGGACATCCCTACTATCTTCACAAACGAGTTAAATGTTTACAGGGAACAGTAAAACTGATGTCATATTGTGACATATTTTTGTTCCTAGCAGGCTTTGGGCCTAAATCCCATATTCTCTAATCAGATAACTCTCAAGAGCAAAGATGTAGCCCCGTCCTTACATGTGTGCACATCAATATTTTTAAGATAAAAGTAGGTGTGCAATATTCTTAAAAAATTATCTTAGTTCCAAAAATATTTGCTATTTTTTTAAACAAGGCCATTACAAATTCAATTCAAGGAGCAGCTCAAAATAAAACAGACACAACAAGCTCCTAGAACATCCTCAAGACAAACTCAGAAAGGTATTTCAGAATTCCCTGATTCAAAATGAAATTACAATGTCCAAGGAACTAATAATACTCAAATGTTTTGTTATGCCAAAAGGGAACTAACCAGCATGGTTTTGTTATGCCGAAAGTAACTAACCAGCATGGTTTTGTAAAATAAGGAAAATATAAGTATCAAACGCTAGTGAGGAGAGGGAGGGTAAATGACAGCTTATTATTAAAGAATCTGATAGAGATCAGATCATATCAAACACAACTGCCAACTGCATGCTCGTCCATTACGTCCCCTGAATTGGATGTGATGACATCTGCTCTCGCCACGGTGCACAGTCCACGGAAAACGCTGAAATAATATAGCTGAGCAAACTGAACTTTCTTTATGAACTTTCTTTATGAAAATTAAAGGATAACAGATAAAGTCTTGCCCCTTTTTTCTTCCTTTTTTCTAGTAAAACTGACAAATTGTTGAGGAGCACTACAGCGCCACCAACAGATCAAGGCAGAACAAAAAAAAAAAAAAAAAACACCTCCCACCGTGTGCAAAAAGAAGAAAACTAGAAAAATACCAAAAATTACAAAATGTCTCCCATATGTACCTTTCCGGAGAAAACGTAAGATAGGTCTACAGAGATGAATTGACAAAGAGCTGTAAAGAAATCACATCCCAGACCACAAGTTAGATCCGCTCAGCAATAAAAGAGCCACTAGTTAGCAACAGCCATAACTTAAACCCGGTTATGTCCATCTCCACCTTCATTATACCAGAGCTGCTTTCTGTAGTTTGTATTCAAGTACTCCATCAAGGGAATCACAATAGGTTCGCTTGTTGATAATTTACTCTGGACAACTGCGGCAATAGATAATTTTTATAAAGAGGATATGTACACACTTGGCACTACCAACATTGCTGGCACACAAAAAATGTCCATCTTGAAACATCTGAGTTCCCCTGTAGTTCACACCAATTAAAAGTATAATTTTCATTATATATGTTTATCTTTAACAATCCAGAGGGAGAAAAAAACTGCTCCCCCCCCCCTTTTGGTAAAAAATAACCAGACAAAATTACGTGGAATGTGCACAGATCGAAGCTAAAGAAAAATACAAAGACTGGTTTTTCGAGAAGAAACACAATGAAAATCTCTCTTATCTGGTGCTCCCTTCAAAGATGTAATGCCAAGAATGTTTAAAATTATAAACTCACCATCAGTGTAGGCAAAGCAGCAACCAGTCCTCAAAAAAAACAAAAAAAAAACAAAACGTGTAACAATATAGGCTGGGGACTGGGTTGTCCAGAAAAACAGCCTCTGGGCAGCGTAGGGATCTTCAAACATCCTGAAAATATTTGGTAAATCAAAAGTGAGACTTTCCTCCATGGAGGGCGGTGGAGTGGGGCGGGCAGCCGCAGGATCCGAGGGCGTTCGGGGGAATGGAGCAAGCTGGAGGATGCTGAGCGAGCGGCGGCGAGAGGCTGGGGTTAGCAACTTTGCTCTGGCAGGCGGCGGGCTCCACCTCCCGAAGCTCGGAAAGAATGCAAGACTGTGCCTTTTTACACCGCTCGAGAGAGCGCCGCCGCCCGGGGCGATCGGGATTAAGTGTCAAGCACAACAATGGCAGCGGCCGCGTCCTCCGAGCATCTGGGCACGCGCTTGCGGTCGGTGGGGAATGTGGATGTGGACGCGGCCATTTGGAAGAGAAGTCCATGCAAGTGTGCTCTGTGTGCCGTCCCCCAGGGCCTCCCGTAGCCACGAGCACCACTGTCCTGCATTAAGTAGCCGAATCCTGACTTAAGTTGAAACCATATTCAGCTTCCCCCGCTTTCCCGTTCAACACGGCTTCCAAACCCCTTCCTGGCCGGCCCAGTTCTACTGCTCCGCCTTACAAGCAAAACGTCTGAGGTGTCCAGTTTTTTGGATCCTTCCACCCGGCCTCCAGGAAGTGGTAAAAATGCAAAATAAATATAGCACTAAAGTACACACTTGAGTCTGAACTCCAGACCACCCTTTGGTGCTGGTGCTAGCGGGATGCCCAGAAAATGCACTTCTTTTTTGTTTTTGTTTTGAAAAGAACACCAATCATTAGGCATTTGCTTGACTGTAATTTGAACTTCCTGCTTTACATATTTATAAGGTCTTTCACCTATCTTGGCAGGCTTTCAAATTGAGTGGGCTGGGAAACTTGATTCTCTCTAGTTGTGAGCTGAGTAGGGTTATTGCAAACAGGCTTTTCTAATCAAGACAACCTGAAAAACTGAACATAAAAAAGTTAGAGGAATCCAACACTTGTAATTGCAAATATAAAGTCCCCAAAGTCAGCTATTATCAAAGTGGTTCTAATACTTATATGGCTGAACTGAACGCATTTACTGTACAAGTCCTTGCCAGCTAATGAGCCAAAGATGAAAGAAGAAAACACTGAAGGATGAAAAAAGGAGGGAGAATTGCCTACATTCTTCAAGACCACCCCCACTTCCACAGAGGTCTGGTATGCTTGGCTAGCATTTAGTAGGTAACCACTTAAAAACCTGTAGCTAGGGTTACTGTATCACTCATTGTCTACAACAAGACTCTGAGAATAAGAGAACAAATGCTATTAATTACAGAACAATTAGAATAAACATGGCCTGTCTCCAGAAAACCAGAAGGTTGACAAAACTAGAATTTTGTCAGGCAGATAGTGATCTACAGGACCGGGGCTCATTTAAATGGAGTCTGAGCTAGGCTCCCTTTTCTGGCTCTGTATTTTGCTGCTGATCTATAGTTAACAGATAACTGGGGTAGACCTGGACTCACATATCTAGAAAAATATCTAGACTGGAAGAGCCACTTATGTAAGTATACAGGTAAGTCCTTTTTACTATCTGTAGGCTAGACTACTCTGAGCCAGGAGTGATAGAGTGTGCCTTTAATCCCAGCAGAGGCCAGTGGTTCTCTACGAGCTCCAGGTTAGGGCTACACAGTGAGAATCTGCCTTTAAATAAGTAGGTAGATAAGCAATTAATTAAAAGACAGACATGCTCAAAGCATAGAATCCAGAAATCAGGAGCTAAAAACATGCTCACCAAAGCCAACACCAGGACAGACCCAGCAGGCTTTCCGTGGAAGCAGCAGCATGTCTTTCAGCAAATGAGCTGTACAGTCTAGTACATCCATACAGGGCAGAGTCAACAGCACTGCAAAGAAGCCAAACTGAAAGGCTGCCTACCGTATGACTCCAGCTCTGAGAATCTTGGGAAAAGTCAAGCTGAAGACAGGGAAAGAAGGACCAGTGGCTGCCAAGGGTGGAAAGACATAACAAAGAATTTTGGGGCAATGAAAACAATTCTTGTGATACTGAAACAGTGGAATCATCATTTATAGACTATGAAAAGTTCCCAGCAAACACTGATACACATCACAGACCACTTGCTAGCATGTCAATGCAGATTCACTGACTGAACCATGCAGAATGTCATGGTAGGGACTCAGGAGGGGCCAGGCCAGGGTTATATAGGAAATCTCTGTACCTTCCACTAATTTTGTTATGAACTATGCAAAGCTAAATATAAATTTTAAACTATACTCTCTTCTAATTACTCTTTCTTCTTTCAACTAACACTCATTTGGGATTATTGTGAAGGACAGGTAAATATAATAGTGTACTCATCCATCCATGGATCCATTCTAAGACCCCAGCAGATACCTGAAACCATGGGCAAGTGCATATGCCAAGTTTTGCCTTAGATACATACACCCATGATAAAGCAAGTTACAAATTAGGCACAATAAAAGAATACAATAGAATAATTATAGTAACACAAGTTTTCTTCACTTAGCTGGGCATGGTGGCATATACCTACAATCCCAAAATTCAGGAGGCAGAGGCAGAGGAGTCTTGAGCTTAAGGTCAGTCAGGAGACAGTCCTTTTTTGTCTCGTTTTGTTTTTTGACACAGGGTCTCTCTGTTATGTAGCTCTGGCTGTCCTTGAATTCACAAGGTCTGCCTGTCTCTGCTTCCCAAGTGCAGACAGACAGCCTTATTTAAGAAAAAAAATGTTTTTAATTCTTTAAGGCTGAAATATAGCTTAGCAGTAGAATGTCTTCATAACATGTTTAAGCCCCTCAGTTCAATTCCTGAACAGAAAACAAAATCTGTCATGCTTTTTATCTTTTCACTTTATGGCTTCTCTTCAGCACATACAAATTGCCCACATCACTCCTTTACATTCTGTGGATATTTCTAAGTAAAATAAAGGGTACTTAGGGCTGCCCTAAGAATCAGTAACCCAGACATTTGATATGACAGCTAAGTGGTTATCTGAGTAGTAAGCACAGTGTGGACACACTGGACAAAAGCATGGTCCAAGCCATACCCAGACAGAGACCTCCCGACATGTTGTCACAACAATGTACAATCTCTCACATTTCCAAGCTAAGTGTCTACTACCCCATACAGAATATTCCATCTTTTTCTCAGCTACCGGGCATATATTCTCCCTTCTACAGTATACAGTAGCCTGTCCCCTGCTTCCATGATTCTACTATCCAATTCTTTCCTTACGGAAACAGTTCTACTTCCAACAGTCAATGTGATGTTCAGAAGACTGTAACAAAATCTGCTGGAGGTTCTAGACAGGAACAGTCATGGATGGTCCACTAGTGAAGCATTCCTGAGTGGTGGCATAAGAGATAGGCCATAAAAACAGAAGCTAAAGAACCAATAATTATCAGCAAAAGACAGACCAGAAGGAGGGCACCTCAACTGCCTTTGAGGTCACCAAGGCAAGGATCATCCAAAGATCTCCATGAAAGAACTGCCTCTAGTTTGCTTTTAAGTTTGTGTTTGCCTTGTATCTGAGTATCTTCTCACACAAGACCTCTAATTTATACATAAACTCATTCACATTCACTTATGGGTTACATGGATTTTTGATTTTCTTTCCATTGTATGTTCTATGGCTCAAGTTATCCTTTAAAATTCTAACATAAATTGGGGCTTGCAGAGATGGCTCAGTGGCTAACAGTTCTTGTTGCTCTTGCAGTAGACATGGGTTCAATTCCCAGTACCCAAATGGTTCACAGATTATCTGTAATTAGGGGATCCAACTCCTCCTGACTTCTGTGAGCACTAGACACCCAACACAGCACATATACATGCATGCAGGCAAACATACACATAAAAAAATATATATATATATATATATATACAGAAATAGTTCTACATAAATCTAGAGAGTTGCCAGCACAGAATCAATGAGCCCCAAGCTCACCTTTAGTCCCATAATTCTATTCTTCCTGTTTCTTCTCCCAGATGCTCTTTATAGTCATCTTAACAAGTTACTCTTGAGTTGTTTGGCATCTTCAGTTTTAGTCATCTATTGGGTGGCATTTTAATTTTAATTGCATTTACTTAGAGGGGGTTGCAGCAACCGGTTCTTTCCTTCCACTGTGTAGGCCCCAGGGACTGGACTCAGGCAGTAAGTGACTCAGCAGTAAGTGACTTGACCCACTGAGCCACCATCTCACCAGTCTTCCTCAACCTCACTTCTAATTACCCAGGGGTGGCAAGGTTAGAGCACATGTAGAAAAACTATGAACCTTACATACATCTTTTATAATCAAGCAGACAATTTTCCTGCTCTTTACATTGTTAGTGTAGCTAAAGTCAAACAGCAATGGTGATAGCAGCATCCTTGTCCTTTGATAACAGTGGTGCTGAAAAGCTGAGGTTTTAAGTGTGTGCTTCCTCCAAAAGAAATTTCACAAATAAACCACCAATTTATTAACAAAAATATTTAAACGAAAAGAGCAGCCCACTACATTAATGTATCAATTTTTTTCATATTCCAATCAGCATAGTTCTTTTTCTAAGTAAGTTTTTTGAGACAGGATTTCTTTACATAGCTCTGGCTGTCCTAGAACTCACTATGTAAACCAGGCTGGCCTCAAACTCAGAGATCTGCCTGCCTCTGCCTTCTGAGGCATGTGCCACCACCCCTGGCTTGGCAGCATTCTTAACACAAAAATGGCAAACAAAATATAAATAAAAACAACCTATTTGGTACTTTAATTTGCAGGGAGCCATGAGTTGTGGCCGCCATTCCAAGATGGCACTGGGCCCCTGCAGGGCTGGAGTAAACAACTCCATATAGGGTCATAACCAGAGTCACCAGCTCGAGCATGCTCAGTGTCTTCAGCTTGCTGGGCCAATCAGGGAGCCTGAGGTGGCTGCCAGGGGTGCTCGACCAATAGGACAGTTGCACGCTGCCTCAGCTCCTATATAAGCAGCTGCAGCCTTTGTTCTGGGTCCCTCGCTTCCTGCTCTCCCTTCAACCAAGAGGCTCCAATAAAGCGTGATTTGGGAAGAATCCTTGTCTGGTGGTAGTCTTTCCTGCTGGTCAGGGAGTGCTCCACAACTGGTGCCGAAACCCGGGACGCTGGGACTCCTTTTGGTACCGAGCGAGGGACCACAGAGGATTCAGAACCCAACACGTGGAGCAGCGATGTCGGGGCAAGAAGCACCTCATTGGGTTCCGAGTCGCCTGACCAGAGTCGTCGAGGCTCAGGAAAATGATTCCGCCATTCGTCAAGATATTGATGCTGTCGATCCTGTGGAAGATGATACAGAGTCGAGCGGAGCAGAGATGGGGGATTCTGTCAGCCTTCCCCAAGCCGATTCCTGTCAGGCATAATGCAGCTGTTTTCCCACGATTTTTTATCAGTCAGAAAATGTTGGGTCTTCCCATGTTACCCCTTGATATGCATGTGGCCCTCTTAGAGGAGAATAGAAGTTTTATGGAAGAGGGTTCCCTATGTTTTACTTTGGAAATAAACCCAGGATCATGCATTGCTCTAAGAAAGCAGGGTTTGGCATGGTTCCAGCAGGATCAAGACTTTACTTTGTAGTTTCCCAGGAGAGAAGGAATTGGCAATTTGGGCCAGGGAATCAGTCGTCCCCTTTTCAGTTTAGCAATTATTCTTATACCCAAAAGGCCCTTTGGTTCAATGGTACCTTTGTGTCCTTCCCCAATGTTTCGGAAAGCGAGTCTCCACCTGTCCAGCCATGACTTGCTCCACACTGCTGGGGCTCCCTTAAGGAAGGAGAACTTTGGCCTTGGACAGACTGTCAGTCTCACATGGTCGCCTGGGCAGATAGCGCACATAGATTCACCTTTTCGCCTGATATGCGGGGACCAGCCCCTCATAGGTTCTCGTTTACCATGGGTTTTTTATGCAGGCGGATATTATGATTCCCTATGATAAATGGTTACTTTGTGGTGTATATGGTAGCTGTTCAGATATTTCCCCTTTTGTATTGTTGGGAGGGGGGGAGGCAGGATATAGTAAGTTTAGTTGTGTGTATAATCTGACTGAAAGAGAGGTAGCAAGAAATAGAGGGGGAGGGATGGTGCTGGGGTTTATGCAAGTTAATGGTACTGGAGGATGCACCAAAAGGTTGGAAGATGTTGTAAACGTTACCTCTTATAAAGCTGCCCCAGTATGCCTTCATCCACCATTTTTGTTTATTTTAAGTAATTCTTCTTTTACCAATTGCTCTAATGAGACTTGCTCATTATCACAATGCTGGAACACGGCTAAATACACTCGAGCCTTGGTAGCACGGGTCCCTCGTTGGGTCCCTGTGCTGGTAGAAACCCCTAGTACGATGACGTTATTTCGTCACAAGAGGGACTTCGGTGTCACGGCTTTGGTGGTGGTCCCAATGTCGGCCATAGCGGTCTCTGCCACTACGGTGGCCATTGCCATGACTACTGCTGTTCAAACAGGCGAGACGCTTAATCGGTTGTCCACCGCTGTGGCCTCAGCCCTAGAAAAACAAACCGCCATGGATGCTCATATTAAAGGTGGATTAATGGTGATCAACCAAAGAATAGATTTGGTACAAGAGCAGGTGGGTATTCTTTGGCAGCTGGCCCAATTGGGCTGCGAATGGAAGTTGGACGCCCTGTGCATTACCAGTGTTCAATATGAAAATTTTACTAGGGCTGCCAATTTGTCTCACTCTTTGTCCTTGTATCTTGCAGGAAATTGGTCTGAGGATTTTGATGCCACCCTGGAAGACCTCAGGCATGCTGTAGTCCTAATTAATTCAACGCGTGTGGATCTCAGCTTGGCGAAGGGACTACAGTCCTGGATCTCCTCTGCCTTCTCCCTGTTCAAGGAGTGGGTGGGGGTAGGGATGTTTTTTGCATGCTGCATAGGAGGGTGCGTACTGTGCCTTTGGTTGACCTGCCGCCTGCGGACTCAGATGTCCCGTGATAAGGCAGTAGTGCTGCAGGCACTGGCTGCTCTTGAGAAAGGCAACTCCCCCCCAAGTATGGTTGTCCACTCTCAGGAGCCACTAGCCAAGCACGGCCTTTGCACCCTCATGGGATATTTGCCCATTGCACTGAGGAAGGCGTGCTGGCCCCTTCGTAGCATTGCCTTTGCACCTCCAAGGGCTTGATCCCATTGCACTGGAGAAGGAATGCTATGAGGTGTTTTTGGCCTCCCTTGATCGGTCCACACATCATGAGGTGAAGACCTGATCGGGAATAAGACCTGACTTGGCCCTGAAGGAAACAAGAAGGGGGAACTGCAGGGAGCCATGAGTTGTGGCCGCCATTCCAAGATGGCACTGGGCCCCTGCAGGGCTGGAGTAAACAACTCCATATAGGGTCATAACCAGAATCACCAGCTCGAGCATGCTCAGTGTCTTCAGCTTGCTGGGCCAATCAGGGAGCCTGAGGTGGCTGCCAGGGGTGCTCGACCAATAGGACAGTTGCACGCTGCCTCAGCTCCTATATAAGCAGCTGCAGTCTTTGTTCTGGGTCCCTCGCTTCCTGCTCTCCCTTCAACCAAGAGGCTCCAATAAAGCGTGATTTGGGAAGAATCCTTGTCTGGTGGTAGTCTTTCCTGCTGGTCAGGGAGTGCTCCACATTAATTGAACAACCAAAAGGAGAGCGCCACAAGCAACTCCGAGGTATCAGGAAAAGAAAGACCAGATGTCCAGCTGTTTGTACTAAGAAGTATCTTTATTTTGCAAATGCTAAGAGGTCTCTCTCTTGTAGGAGGGAGCAGTCTTACAACACAATAGAAAAACCCCAGGTGGAAGACAGCACGTTTTCCTCGTGCTAGATGTTGATGTCAGAGGGGCAATGCGGGGGCAGTAAACCAGGACTAGAAAACAGGATGTACCTGTGGCTGTCAGCTGACAAACAACTCAGAGACCCTGTGGGGCTAGGCCCCAACATCTCCCCTTTTTATTTTTTGAAATTTTGTTTGAACTGTTTATTACTCTATAGAATTTTTTATACAGATTTCTTTGGCTCTCAGGGGCTACAGCCATACCCACTCCTTGTAAAAAGTTTTTAGAGATGACTCACAAAATTGACCTTAAATTTGTATAAATGCAAACAAACATTTACAAACAATATTTGGGAATGTGGGTGTTGTTCTTTCCAAACTACTTCCTGCTGTTAAGGGGCACTGAAATACCATGGGGATCATGACAAAACTCAGAAACCTGTATGTCCTTATTTTCGTGGTCTGTAAGGCTGCATCATCTTAGCTGTCTTAATTGTTGGAACACCTGGCCCACTGCTTTGAGGGGGGGGGTCTTGCTTCATCAAACCATATTAATCTGGAAGGAACCCACAGCTTTTTATTTTCTGTGGAAGCAAAAGCAGAATTTTTTCCCAAGTAACCTGTCCTTATATTTAAATTTAGAAGTCAAAGCATTTTCAAAATATGTAAGTTGAATTATTTCAGCAACATTGATAATCAAATGTCTTTTAGTTTTTGTTTCTTAACAATTAAACAGTTTAAAGACAACACAACAGCCCACAGTATCCAGACTCTCCGTGTATTTTCCATTCCATATACTTTTACCTTTTTCTTTTCTTTCACTTAATATCAGTACCTCGTTTACTAACTGTTACCAATTTTCAATTCACCTATTTTCAATCCATCCTACAACCCAGGATGATCCCTCAGGCAAAAGCCTTAAGCCAACTGAGGGCGATCTCTCAGTTCCCCTTTCTTTCCTGACCTTGCAGGCAAAGGCCTGGAGATTTAACCTGGTACCCCTAACTTGGTACCCCTTTCCAATACACCCTCATAGCCTTACTTGCTGGCCAGCCTTTGTGGGTGATCTCTCAGTTCCCCTTTACTTTCCTGACCTCAATGGATCAGGCGAAAGGCTGGAGATTAATTTAATACACCGTCTCCTTAGAAGGTGATCTCTCAAGCAAAAGCCTGGGGATTTGACCATTCAGTTTTACTGTTAGAAGTTGAGGTACCTGTTTTTAATTCTTTTCTTTCTCAAGTCTCTCCTCTCCTGAGTCTACTTTCTAACTGATCTTTCCCAGTCTTTTCAAGTCTCTCTGGATCTCGGTGGAACCTCCAATTGTGGTGCCCACACCACAAGCAACTCCAAGGTACCAGGAAAAGAAAGACCAGATGTTCAGATGTTTGTGAGTGGTGCCACCCTGGGCTGGAGATCCTGAATTCTAAAAGAAAGCAGGCCAACAAGATGATGGTGGTGCATGCCTTTAATGCCAACACTCAGGAAGCAGAGGCAGGAGGACCTCTAAGTTTGAGGCCAGCCTGGTCTACAGAGCCAGCCTAGTCTACAAAGCTAGTTCCAAGATAGCCAAGGCTACACAAAGAAACCCTATTTTAAGAGGAGGAGGAGGAAGAGGAGGAGGAAGGAAGGAAGGAAAGCAGGCTGAGCAAACCATGGAGAGCAAGAAAGTAAGCAGCACCCCTCCATGGCCTCTGCATCAACTCCTGCCTTTCTTCAGTGGTGGACTACAAAGTGGTAGTGTAAACCAAATTAAGTCCTTGGTGAAGGATGTCCTTCTGTATATATGCTTCTCTTATTGGTTGATGAATAAAACACTGATTAGCAAGTAGTGAGGCAGGAAGTTTAGGCGGGACTATGAGACAGGGAGAATTCTGGGGAAAGGAAGGCAGAGAGACATCATGCTGCCCAAGGAGTAACATGTCAGATTATGGGTTACAACCTCGTGGCAATGCATAGATTAATAGAAATGCGTTAATGATTAAGACAGAGCTAGCCAATAAAAAGCCCTAGCCATCAGTCAACAGTTTTATAATTAATATAGCATCTGTGTGTTTCTTTGGGGCAAAGTGGTTGTGGAACC